ATGTAATGTATGTATGTATGTATGTATGAATGTATGTGTGAATGTATGTATGAATGTATGAATGTATGAATGTATGGATGGATGGATGGATGGGTGGATGGATGGGTGGATGTATGTATGTATGTATGTATGTATGGTAATGTAATGTAATGTAATGTAATGTAATGTAATGTAATGTAATGTAATGTAATGTAATGTAATGTAATGTATGTCTGTATGTTTGTATGTAAAGTACATACATACATACATACATGCATGCATGCATCCATCCATACATCCATACATCCATCCATCCATCCATCCATACATACATACATACATACCCATTAAATCCCTATGTTTGTAATAGATTAAATAGGCTGAGCCTCCTGCTTCGAAAGCTCCATTGCAGCTCGAAGCTTTGCTGCCTTTGGACCAGGCGGGGGAGCGGTTCCCCACCTGCTGGTTCAGGGAAAATGATCAACGACAGGATTAAGAGGTACACTATTTTCAGAATAATTTGACAGATTTTGACCGGTTTCTCTTGAATACTAAAGATGAAGAGAATTCATAGGGTCGCTACGCGAAAAGATTGATCTCTGGTCCAGGAACAAGTGGGCCGCAACCCCTCTACTCGACGTACTGTTCCGCCAGAACTTCAAAGAGGTCAATACATAGGCTCCTGCTGTCGTCGTCCTAGAATGCAGGCTCACCTCTACTGCACAGGATATCACGACACAACAGGCAACCCAGCAACATAGAACGCATTACACAGCACTTTAGCTTGGTGCGGCAGGAATATTCCTTCGCACAACTGACACATATCCAATCATATCCAGGAAGCTTGCGATTCCATGACGCAGATGAACTGCTTCTGTTAGAGTTGTATTCAACTCTTATGAGATGAATAGAATGAGTAGAAATATGTTCGAAACATCATGCGTTATCATTCGTTATCAGATGTTATTCGTTGTTATCCGTGGGTGCAATTTCTCCTCACTTTGCCACAGTTCTTTCGAAAAACCTCAGTGGCCAGCCTTCTCATCCCAAACCCGAAGGCCTTATGCTGAAGTACTTGCCCCTACCGCCTGGAATTGCAGCGATGCACATGGAGCTTCTGAAGAAGAAAGTTGAAGACATCATCAAGCATATGCTGCCTGGCTACAGCCACACCTACCCTAAACCCTACGTGTCATCAAATATCAAACATGGCTGGGAAATCCATGGAAATCCCCTATGGAAATATCTATGGAAATCCCTATTCTAAATGGGCATTTACACATATTTACACCAGAAAATCATTGATCCCTGGGGATGTTCCATGGTCATTTTTGATTACCTAAGAGGCGCTGGCGCTGGGCAGCTGGGGCAGCTGGGTTCAGGATTCACCACCAGATGAAGCCCACGGTCAGCAACATCCAGGACTGTTTGAGGCGCCAAGGTGCTGGTGCCTCGCTGTGGGGAAAGACCAGCTATTGGATTGTCAAGGTACTGGCAGCAGCATGCACCCGAAAATATATCTTACTGTATATTATTTGTATTTGATATTGATTTATTAAATATATAGATACTTCTAGTGGAGTTGCCCACACACATAGTCGAGTAATACGCGTGTGGTGCCGTGTTGTTAGCTGTTTCTTGGATCGAAAGCACCATGTGGCATCACACAGACAGACTGTGCAGTTTTTCGATCTTCGAGCCCATAGACATCCAGAAGAGTCCAACGAGAAACATCCGTAGTTGCAACCGACAAGAGATTCGTGACGTCACCAGGCAGGAGAACTGTTCTCTGTCAGACGGGCCGAGGCAAACATGAAGTGAACGCGGTTTGGAACTTGTGCTACTTCTATCGCTGGGCCTTTTGCTTGTGGAAGCCAGATGCAGGCGGAGACGTTCACTGGTGACGCAATAAAAAATGATACCCCATAGAGAAGATGAACATATCAGCATGTATACATTTATTATCATATATTTACATTACATATATTTACGTATAATATTATGCATATATATATAATTATATATATATATATATATCCCTGGAGCTAGGGAGTTTTCCACCAGACTTTTTTTAGCAATTCACTTCTCGGCCGTGCCAATCGTTTCAGGTGAGATGAGCATCGTACTTCTGGAGGAGCCATTGCCACCGGTGGATGACCAGGCCACCCAGGGAGAGCCAGAGAAATTTCTATCTGTTGGATCCCCTGATCAACCGGATAGTTTTCCCCAGCCATGAACCACTGATTATGTCTAACATAGCTATTGAACATGGCCATGTATAGTGGAATTTCCCATTAGAAATGGTGATTTTCCATAGTTTTCTGGACAGTTGACCAGAGGGTAACCACTGCGAATCTGAGGTGGTAGAGCAGTTGGATATCTCTTTGGCAAACCAAGTGGTGAAGAAGTTGCAGGCGGGACCAGACTGCAGATGTCCCATTTTGTGCTTTGCGACATGGCAGAAACTACCGCGAGATTACTTAGGCATTTTAGATTCTTTAGTAAGATTTGAATATATAGTCGTTTCATGTATGTGTATAGTATTTTCATTTTTTTAAATGAGCATGACTGGAGATTTGAACTGCTTCCTTTTTGTTTTCGGACAAGAGCACCTGTGATGCTAGGCGAGCACGCAGTCTGCTGAGAACCCAGGCCCAGGGCCAAAACTTAACCAATAATCAATCCAGTCGTAGGGTATACCCCAGCTAGATTAATGGGTCATAAGCCACTTAGGTTGGGATGCACCCATAAGTATGGAAGAACTCTGAAACAGAGGTGTGTATATGTATATACATGGCCCTTTCTTTGATATTTCTTCATTTCATTCTTCATGTCAGGTTTTTGCTTTAAACATCTTTAAACCTTCTGGATTGTATCTGTCGAACTTTGATTCCTCTCTCATACTTGTATATCTCCATTCTTTTGCAGTGCATTCTCGGTGTAGGATGCCAATCATGCATGCGGTGTGTATAGATCACAAATGCAGACAGATACGCATAGAGGTATCTGGCATCCAGGGTTCTGAGACCCCTGGGGATTGCGGGATTGATCGTGTTGTTGACAGCACATCCACAGCTGTACACCAATCTAAGTTTTTTTTTCAGAGCCATGAAAGGGGATTTTGGGCCTGAATTTGAGAGATTTCGACCACTTTTGAAGATTGATTGTCCAATATGATCCATAGGAATTCCCATCCTATGACGCTCCCAGTGCTGGTGCAGGTCCTGTGGATGATCAGCTGGCACAGGAGCTGCAGCCATTGGAGATACTGCTGATGCAGATCCATTACAAATGAAAAGCATCAGCACTGGACCTTTCTCTTTGAGAAAATATCGATCCTGCAGAATCAAAGAAGCTATGGGCAACACTGGCAACACGTCAATGCGAGATGTGTCTCTGGTGACTTGCAGGACTTTGCGGACGGAAATGTTACGACACTGATGATCAGGTCTGCTGGGTCGGTTTATTGGAGACTTTGCAGGCAATCCACTGTTATTGTATTTCCAATAACTCCGGGAGTTTCGTGTAGATTCTTCATCCAATCCTTGGGGTAGAGGCTTAGCCCATGAGAAACACTTCTCCTCATGAGTTCCATGGCCAGGAACTTGCCGACAAGTGGCTTGGCCTCGAGGGCATGGACCTTTGTTGATTGGTGATAAACAAGACAATTGGGGTGAGAGCTGGTTTTCCTTGGAGATATTGGAGATATTGGAGCTATTCCAATCAACCAGTAGATATCAGTAGATTATGATTAATACAATTGATAGATTATTGGAATAGCAAATATATCTATAGTATTTCTATAGTAATACCCAATTATTGTAGATATATTTGCTATTCCAATAATGGTGAACCAACTGTTTCGCGGCCACAAGGCCTGCAGCAGCCCTCAGTTCTGGACGAGTTGAAGCGCTGCGGATTTGATGGCAGATACGATTCTTGGCGGCGCCACCATGAGATTCCCCAAGAAATCGGTATACAAACCATTACAAAACCCAATTCTTGTGGAGGGGGCATATAATCTAACTATGATATCTACGCTGTATTTTGGAGATCGGATGACTCAAGTTAAAGTCGAGAAGCTTCCATGTGGAAGAGTGGCGACTGAAACCCTTCAACTGTGGAGAACAAGCGTTGTGGTTACCACAACATGGCAGCTGCTACAACCACACAAATGCAGCTGCAACAACATATGCTACAGTGGTTGCAGTGACGTGGCGTACTGTTTGGACGACATGGAGGTGAGGTATGAGCAGTTTCGTTCTCACCACCAGGTCCCAAGTCTAGGAACGTTTGCTTGTCTTGAGAACAAGTGGTTCCCTGTTTGAGCAGTTTCAGACCAGTTAAAGGATTGAGGCGTGCTTGGCGGGGTTTCTGCTTCATGGATTCTACTCAACTTAGGAGGGAATCTCCAAAGAAATCTCGGTCTCAGGACTTCTTCTACATGCCTGGAATATTTGGCACCGAGACGTCTTGTGGCTATGCGTTCATCAACCTCATCGACATTGAAACCATGAAGGACGGCTCCACCCCTGTTTGCCCAAGCTGGTTATGGGTCAGATGTGGGATAATCAGACTTGGCGGTTTTTGTCTTTTTTAGTCTTAGCTATAAACCACAGCATTGGATGAAAGGAACATTCGCAGGACCCAGTGAAAACATCTAAAACCATGATCCCGGCAAGAGACCCCAAACACTGTTGAGGAGAGCATCTACAGACAAAACTCCTGATAAGAACCTCCACAAGATCTTTCATACCAGGACGTCCAAGGCTATCTCACAAGATTGTCAATATTGTCATACAGGGACCTTCTAGAGGATCTTACAAGGTCTTTTTGCAAGAACCTCCTAAGAGCATCTCGCAAGAGCTTTCACACAAGCACCTCTAATACACTGCATCTTCAAGATCTTCATGCAAGGACCTCTTGGAGGATTTCACCAGGATCCCCACAAGATCTTCTCACAGGGACGCCTCTAGAAGATCTTGGTCAAGATCTTCATACCAAGACCTCTCTGAAACTCTAGCAAGATCGTAATAGAAGGAACTAGTGAGAAGAAGGTTGCACGAGCGAAATTAAAATGAGCAACCCGCCACAACGAGAGCCATCCAGCATGCACAAAGTGACGAGAATGTTGCCACAGTTCCAATATACACTTAATGCAAGTTACAATTTTCAGCATCTTTTGCAAAAACATGCTCAAAATGGTGCGCCTGCAACGAAAAATGAAGCTGAGGCTTCCACCTGGCCAAGTGAAAAACGGAGAGACTGACAAACCGCCTGTTTCCAGCCTTGCAAGACATTGCCGAAGTTCACCAAATATTGCGCGTGCCACAAAAATGACTTCCGGCAGCAACTCTCATTTCGACCCATGCCTGCCATGGTCTTAGCAGCATGCACAAAATACCGTGCCTGCTGCGCTTAACAAGGTTCTGACCCTCCTGCAACAAGATGATAGCTCCAAAAACTGTCGAGTAGGGAAGATCGAGGAACTTTGGTGCTGTACTGTAAGTGCCCCCAAAAAAGGCGACCAGGTATGCAACCACCTTCGATCCACCGGGGTGTAACCAGTACCGTAGGAACTTCATAGTGTTAACACACTGTTTTGGGGAAATAGGTTTTTTTCTGTGGATTTTCCCTCAAACGAACTGAATAAAAACATACCATACCATACCAGCGTGCATCTTGGGGCGGCCCCATCAGGAATTTGTCGCAGCATGGCACAACAGCCGGCGGTTTGGTGCCGAGCTGAAGCTGACCGCGGCTGCTGTGCAAGGCGCCTGGGTGGCTCATTGGTTTGGTGAAAAGGAAACATTTTTGCCGGAAACCATCATCTTCTGTCAGTAATAATTTTCATGGGGTCCTGTCCTGTAGTTTTTAAATTCGATTCCGGCAATGATGGGACTGGGGCTCGTAACTTTTTAATCGTCTCATGTTTGCCCTCCTCTTCTTCCAGCTGCTCCATTTCTCATTGGAGTGGAGGAGAAAGGATTTTGTTTGTGCCACGGCCATGACCCAATTTGCAACATATGTTTGAAAACCTACTGCATATTATATATATATCATATATGTCTATAAAACAAATTTTGGGGGACGAACATCCAGAAGAACCAGCCACCGTGATGCGAAAATCAGGTCGCGATGCCAATGCCCAGAACTTCGGGCCACGCATCAAACGCATTCGTATCTTGGGTTTCTGATAGCACCAGCCCTGCAGGACCATCTGGTACCAATGATGGCTAGCAAGTTGTGCGTGCGTGTCCGAAATCAAAAACTAGACGACGGATGGCCCGAAAGCGTAGGAGAGCATGTATCAAAGACATTGTAGGTGAAAGTTTCATTGAAGATGATGCAGATGATCAGCAGAAAGGAGATAGAAATGCTATGTCAGATTCTCAGCAGAAGCAGACAAAGATAGACACAAAATTTGAGAAACCGACAGAGACAGATAGCAAAGAAACACATACACACACACAGACACACACACACACAAACAAAGATACAGACACAGACGCACGCACACACACACACACGGTACACAGACAGACACCACACGCACAGACACAAACAGAACACAAAGAGGAAGACACATACACGCACACACACACAGGCACAGACACACACACGCACACAAAGAGGAAGACACATACACGCACACACACACACACAGGCACAGAGACACACACACACACACACGCACACAGAGAGAGACACTGGACGCACAAACAGACATGCAGACAGACACCAGGACACACGCACACACACATGTGCAACTTGCAACATAACTTCACAATCCAAATTCTGAGTGCTGCACATTTCGGTCAGCTCAGGAGACCCTTTTACACACCGACCCTTTTATTACACACAAACCCTTTTACACACGGACGATTTTACACACAGACGCTTTGATGCAAAGACGCTTCTACGCAACAACGCTTTTACACACAGACCCTTTCACACACAAACCCTTTTACACACAGACGCTTTTACACGCAGACACTTTTACGCAAAAACGCTTTTGCACACAGAAGCTTTTACACACAGAAGCTTTTACACACAGAAGCTTTTACACACAGAAGCTTTTACACACAGAAACTTTTACACACAGAAGCCTTTACACACAGAAGCTTTTACACAAAGAAGCTTTTACACGCAGACGCTTTTGCACACAGATGCTTTCACACACAGGAGCTTTTACACACAGACGCTTTTACACACAGACACTTTTACACAGACGCTTTTCCACACAGAAGCTTTTACACACAGAAGCTTTTACACACAGAAGCTTTTACGCACAGAAGCTGTTACACACAGAAACTTTTATACACATAAGCTTCTACACACAAAAGCTTTTACACACAGAAGCTTTTACACACAGACGCTTTTACACGCAGACGCTTTTACGCGCAGACACTTTTACGCAAAAACGCTTTTACACACAAGCTTTCACACACAAGCTTTTACACACAGAAGCTTTTACACACAGACGCTTTTACGCACAGAAGCTTTTCACACACAGACGCTTTTACACGCAGACACTTTTACGCAAAAACGCTTTTGCACACAGAAGCTCTTACACACAGAAGCTTTTTAGCACACAAGCTTTTTCACACAGAAGTTTTTTACACGCAGAAACTTTTACACACAGAAGCTTTTTACACACAGACGCTTTTGCACACAGAAGCTTTTACACACAGGAGCTTTTACACACAGATGCTTTTACACACAGACGCTTTTACACACAGACGCTTTTACACACAGACGCTTTTACACACAGACGCGTTTACACAGAAGCTTTTACGCACAGACGCTTTTAGCGTCGTTACCCCAACCTTGATCCCCAAATTGGCTGTGTGGAAAACTGGTGCCAGCTTAAATAAATAAATAAATAAATAAATATATATAATACTTATATACATACATACATACATACATACATATTTTTAGAGCAATAGGTGAAGAAACAAGGACCAATTCTACGGTCACGTGTCTACCTCCTCCCTACTGAGCCCTATTGTACATAAGTTTTGTGAATGATTCTGTCGGGCACATGAGAAACCAGCCAAGGTTTCGTCGGAAAAACATCACGGCCTATCCAAAGTTGGATGTACATGGCTCTAGCCGCAAATACATCGCAAACAGTTTGTCTTCCCTCTGAAACGTAAGAGACCACAAATGGATATAAAGGTGTTCTTTTCGATAGAGCTGCTTGGTTGAAGCCTGCGCAACTGAGGCAATCCAGCATTGAAACCAGTGATTTTTGAGCCTTCGGCAGGACAGACTGCTTGATATGGTTCCCACTCTGGTGTTCCTCCTGTGTAGGATTGGTCTTGGACACATATGCCGCTTGTATGGGTTTGCCTGAAAATGGGGGTGCCCCAAGACAAAGGCTTAATATCACGATAATACTGAGGGGCCAATGCACTAATTATCATGGTTTTCCAAGATCAAACTCTGCAACTCTGTCGGTATCCTCCATTTTTGGACAAACGCCATTCTATGAGAGACAACATGTGTTTTAGTTCGCTGATGAAGATAGATGTATCAAAAAATGTTTTTGCTCATTGGAATATTGCATAGCAACGACGTTGTTCTCTTGGACCAGCAAAACTGTGCGGACCCCCTCTTGGTTCTTTCCACGGTGTTTTCATGACATGTTCGGGATGAAAGTCACTGTTTTTCAGAGCTGGCCTTTTGAACGGGAGTCACTTGCAGAGGCTGGTCCAAGAGGGGGAAAAAAGGTGGAATTCACATCAACAGCGCCAAAAGGCACAGCAAAGGCTGCGGCTGTTGACCGGCATTAGCCTGGAATTAGCAGCTACAGTTGTGGGACCACGGAGTTCATCATTCGGTGGTGCTCCAGCCAAAAACTGCTCAGACTGTGAATAGCGGTGGAGGAAATTTTGTATGAAAGGTTCGTCGGTCCCAAACTCTCATACCATGTTCACCGGCACAGCTTCTGTGAAGCGTTTTGAATTTCCTCCATCAACCTTGGACATAGGGTGGAACTGCTTTCAACATGACACAGCTGCATTCCTGTATTCATGAATGGATCCCATGAGAGAACCAAATATGCCTTGAAGACTTTGGGGTGTGTTTTGCATCCTGGTAAACGCTTCTTACCCGTTGAGTGTCCAAAGACCTTTCCCCTTGGTACTGTTGGAGCCAAAATAATTTGTGCAAACCAGAGAAACAGGTCGAAATGCATACTCTCGAAACGAGGACAATTTTGTCCGGGGGAATAATTATAAGGAAAGACTGAACGCTGAAATGTACTTTTGTTTTGACTTGCCAGTGTTGACTATTTTTTGTCCAATCCCAGGGCCACGCCTCTTTCGCCTCATCCTGGACAATAGCAGGAAACTCGCAGATCATGAAGTAACTACAAGAACCATCAAGAACCTACCGTTTGAATGCAGATCCACTCTGACTTCCGAGTCATGAATGCTCTCGACTCTGACGTGCCCAAGAGGTCAGCTTTGTATCATGCTTTCTCAGATGACGAAGTTGTATTTGGAAATTGGAGCGTTCAGACAGTGCTGCCGCTGGTTATGTTTCCCATGCATCCCTGTGGGCACCACCACGATCCAGATGTTTCTGCCCCACGAAGAGGGTGCACAGATGCGCACAGGTTGTACAGGAGTTACGACTTGATTTGGGGGCCTTGGTTGTCCACAGCCTTCCTGGGGTTTTGATATTCCTCCATGCATCAAGGAGAGCTTGAGAAATGAGCGCGAGTTTTGTTGTTTTCTAAAATACCGCTGACTTAAGTGCAAACAAAACAATACTGGCATTTTTTACTCTCTAACGAGCAGAGATTTTCCGCAACCCACACACAGCTATTCTATTAATGTGAATGTGAAGTACATACTTTGCAGAATCCCCAGCTGGAAGTAAGCATACTCTTGCCCAACCCAAAAATCAAGCAGAGAAGGGCTTACCAGAACCTTTGTATTTTGCTAATACCTTACAATTGACACCTCCAAGACACAAAATGTGTCCTGATATGTACTGCTAAGATCTGATAAATGGTGGTGCGCACCTTTCTAGCCTCACGGGACCAGCAAGCTGATCATGATCTCATCGCTTGCAGCTCGTCACCAAAAAGACTTTCTTTCGGCTGGGGTCCGTCGGTGGTTCACCAAAGCGGACCGACTTGAACTGAACTTGAAGTCGGACACTTGGCGGCTATAGCGAATCGGCGAACGGATTTTCTATATTTTATATGTATTAAAAAGATTTCGATTTTAAAAGCATCCTACATGCATCCATTAAATCCTGTCCATAATGCTACGTAGGTTTCACTTCTTGTGGATAAGAAACATGTCTTGCTAGAACCAAATCAGTTTGAGATGTTGGAAAGAGTCACTGGTGTGTGTGTGTGTGTTTGTGTGCACATTTGGCAGGAAGACAACTTGCTTGTGGCACAAAACACTTCGAATCTTTGACATTCAAAACAAAACCAGTCGTCCAGACCAAAGAGCCAAGATTCTTGGCCAAGATAGCCAAGTTCTTCTTCGAGCCATCCCCTCACGCATGGGCCCGAAATGGACATTTCACAAAGGTTACGTTTCAATCGTTGGAGCTCTCCACTTTTCACGTAGAAGTTGCATGATCCTGCATCGGCGCATTGCGGCACTGCTAGACCGCTAGGCCTCTGCTTGCAGGATCCCGGAATTCTGGTCAAAAAACCGGCGACACACTCACTTTCCGAGCAGTTCCTGGATCCGGGAGTAGCCGCAAAGCGATCTAGAGTAACTAGAGTCTAGAGTCTAGAGAGCATCATCTGGACGGGTCAGACACTTTCACTTCTTGGGCTCGCTTCACTTGACCTAAGTATTGAAAGGCACCCAAAAAACGATCAAACATGGCTTGGAAAGTGAGGGTTGGTACAGCTGGCGAAGTAGATTGCAGTGATAGAGCTACAGTCCCATCACCTTGCGACTGTGCTCGGATCTCCGGCCATTCGCCGGCCGTCCTGGGACACCTTGAATGGATCCAGGATGACTCCAATGACTTCCTTTTTTTTGATTCAGAAATTCAGAGTCAGATGTGTTCACCACTGGGACATGCCAGGACACATACAGACCTTCTGAAGGACGGCTCTTATTTGATTAAATGGAGACTAGTATTGGGGCGTACCCCGGTTTGTCGAAAACATCACAATATAATTAGGCTGTAAAGCAAGGGAGAACGAGGTATATAGGCATCTCATGTAAAGCATCTAGTCATTTGGCTATTAAAAACAAGTGCGGCGTTGGAAAACGAGGTCAGACCCGAAAAAACGTTGCGGGACTGGAGAACGAGGTAGGAACACCCCGTCAATTGCATTCTGTAATACCGAGTAACGTCTGCGGCTCGGATGATATTGGAGTCACTCGACGCATCCGGTTGCTCTCATCGGTTAGATTCGAACTTTGAAACCCGATCAGGGCAGCTTCGAAGTGCAAGATGACGAAGTAAATTTCAGGGTGCAAATTTGGAGTATGCCCCAGTCCCCTTGGGTATATAATTCATTAAGTCTGCTTTGTTTCTTGTCAACAAAGGTCAAGATGTTCCAGCTGTCCAGAACTAAACATTTGGATCGACATGGGAGATAAGAACATCTGACTTTTAGTTTGCTGTAGCATGTTAAAGCAAGATTTAAAAGCAGCACATACTTTTTCTATTTGGACTCACCCAGTTGTCAGTTTTTTCACTATGTCAAGTCACTTTTCTTCGCATATACCGTGTCACTGTTTCTTTGCTAGCCTTTGCACCCTGACGTCTCATTTCAGCTAGCAACATGCTGACAGGAGTTTTCCGCAAAAAAGGGGGCGCAAGGGCTTCCACAAAAGACTCTAGAACTTGCGTGTTGTGTGAAGTCCAGACGAGAAAACCCATAAACGTGTTAGGCCCAAGAAACAGTCGGTTCACAGTCTTGAATGTCATACGGGTTCTGAAAATAGTGATAATAGTATCCCCAAATTTATATCACATCGTCATATTTTCCATCATTTATAGCCATAGATTAGATGGGGGTGTACCCCTTTTCAGACACACCATCTTTTTTCCCAAACATGCCGCATCTCCGCAGGTGGGCCAAAGGGCCAAAGGATGCCCGACTTCCGTTCCGTGCATGGCATGGATCGGTCGTGACACTTTCGGGGGGCTGTGCACAAAGCTGCACCTTTTCGGATGGGATGGATGAATGATGAAGTGGAGGTTTCCTAAAATGGGGGTACTCAAAAGGGATGGTTTATAGTGGAAAGTCCCAATCTAAATTGGATGATTTGGGGTACCCCCCATTTTACGAAACCTCCAAATGATTGCTGAATGATGAATGATGGTGAATGATGTCTCAATGCCAGATGGTTTGGGTAGCTGGTGCAATCTAGCAGCAGTTTGCATCATCCAGCACTGTGCGTCAGTGCATTGCCCACAAAACAGTGGAACTTCTGAGCAGTGGCCGCTAAACCCCTGTTGATTGGTGACTCTATTGGGTTTTACTGTATACTATACAGTATCATTGGGGATCATTATGATCTGTCATGGGAATTCCTATTAATCATGCACTGCAAAGGGATGCCAGGATGACAGAGGGTTTTGAACATTGCTCATGTTTTTTCTTTGAACCCGGACCCTAACAGTCTTTGAGTCGTATGGCTACCTGACATACTTCAAGACCACTGCAGTACTGTGAGTCCGAATGCACTGAGGTTAGGCCGGATCCACCTGCATCGACTCCAACAATCGGTACAAAGCTGTTGCCGCAACCGGCACAATCAAATCATCTCAAATCGATATATCCTCGGAAAAATTGAATGGTGATGAATGGTGATAGAATATGTAGAATGTGTAGATGCAAGGCATATGCTACCATCCCCAGCTGCCGTCCGTTTCGGCTTTGACACTGGGGTGCAGGGAGATGAGTTGTGATAAATATCATTGGTCGTTGATGGTCATTGTGTTTTTCGTCAAATGCATCCACCAAACTGTCCTTGCGACACAAGCGAGTTGTGACTCAAGTTGACAACCTGGGAATAGCATCAACCCTAAATTTGACAACAAGCCGACTGACAAATGAGAACAATCAGAAACATACACAAGTATTTCTTATCTATACCAGTTCTTCCTCAATCAAGTGCCTTTTATTTTTGTCTCCTGCTTAAAGGGTTTACTGCGTAGCACACCATGGACCCATGGCACGTGTTGCCTATGGCGTCCCGGTCTGCGAGCCCAGAAAACAGGTGGATGATCGTGGGTGTGGTCAATATCATTGGTCCCAAACGGATGGTTTTCAGACCAAGAAGATCTAAAAGAGTGACCAATTTGTGGGTCGAGTGTTATCCCATTTTTCGTCATTTTTGACTACACTTGACCCATGTTCATCTTGTTCCTGCAACAGCGCAGAATCCAGATGTATAGTACCACCCCAAAAAAAATAGAAATTCAGAAAAGTGATTTATCACTGTTTTAGTCGGATTGTACTTTTCTATCTATTTGAGGTTACTATATTTTAATTTAAACGTTTTTAAACACCCGATTTTGCTGGTGCCTTTTCTTTCGATTTCTACAAGGTTTCATTGGTTTCATCCTCACCTGTGGCAACCGTGGCAACTTGGCAACGTGAAGGGTGAGGGAGGATGCACATATATAAATGATCATGAATGATTCATAAATGGGGGTTTCCATAAATGGGAGATCCCCAAAATGGATGGTTTATACTGGAAAATCCCACAATGAGGTTCAACACTTCAATTTTCATAAATGATTCTTACTTCATCATGATTCATAAATGATTGTGAATGATCATAGAAATGTTTGGTCATGAGGTTGAACACTTCAATTTGTTTTTCACCGCTCTGTGCACAGCCGGTGGTTTTGACAGTCGGGGTGTCAGACTAGTCGTGAGCTTCCCTACTATGAGGCTTTCCAGTACCCAACATCCGATGGGTCTGTCCCATGGTTATCCATGGTCCGGCTATCCCTAGATCCATTGGTTCCATGGATTTATCCTCCATTTTAATTGATGTTTTGGGGTATGTATAACAAAAAAACTCATTTTTAGACAAGAGTAACACATTTGTTGGTTCATGTTGGTTATATTTGTCCCAAAATATAACCCCATCATATCAGATCCCAGTTATGAGATGTACATCCCCATAATTGATACGTTGACAATCTTTAGACACACTAAGGTATTTCATATTGTTAGTTTTACATCGCATAGGATGTCCCCATTCTATATATATATATGTTGTATTATATATATATTATACATATTATACAGTATATATTATACATATTATTTATAATATGTATAATAATATATTATATATATAATATATAATATATAATATATAATATATAATATACAATATATAATATAATATATATATATACATAATATAATTTATATAATATATATAATAAATATAGTATATATAATATATATAATATACATTATATATATAATATATATAATAAATATAATATATAATATATATAATATATAATATATATAATATATATATATATATATATAATAAATAGAATATATAATATAAAAATTTTATAATATATATAATACATATTATATATTTTAATATACATAATATATATATATATATTTAATATAATATATATTTAATATAATATATATTTAATATAATATATATTTAATATAATATATATTTAATATAATATATATTTAATATAATATATATTTAATATAATATATATTTAATATAATACATATATATAATATAATACGTAAAATATATAAAAAATATATAATATATAATATAATATATATATATATATTTATTAATATATATTATGTATAATATATATAATACATATCATATATTTATATTATAATATACATAATATATATAATATAATACATATATATATATAGATAAAATATAATATGTATAATATATAAAAAATATATACTATATATATACTATATAATATATACAATATATATAATATATATAATATATATAATATATATAATATTATAATATATATAATATATATAATATATAATATATATAATATATGCAATATATATAATATATATAATATTATATATATATATTATATTTATTATATATATATAATATTATATATATATTATATATAATATATATAATATATATATATATTATAATATATATAATATATAATATATATATATATATATATTATATAATATACATAATATATTATATATAAACAATCTATATTATATATATAATGTATAATATGTGTAATAATACATACATATAATATAAATGCAATATATGTATATATATATATATTTGTATAATATGACATATATATATATTATCATCATAAAGCTAGTATCTGCATGATTGTTGGGTATACCCCATATGAGCAAGGCATACATTGCTGAGCCCCTTTGCCGTGCCGGTGGGGGTCAGAACCTTGGTGAAGGGTTACCGAATGATGGCACCAGGAAACATGGGGATTTACCCATGAAATCTGTGGCTATTTACTGGCAGATATGTATATCAAACATGCAAACGTGGGGATATGAAATAATATCAACTTTCACTCGACCACAGATATATCAGATATATGTGGATATTAACCGTCAACCGCTCGGATGTATGGGGATATCAGCCATCAAGAATTGGTTTGTCTCAAACGTGGAATAGCCGAATTTCTGGCTGTGTTTCTGTTAATTAATGATGACAAACTACGGGTTTTCGGGGGACCTTGTTTTCAGACCACTTGGCAAGCTTGAAGGAGTTGAACGTTCCATAGACCCTTCCACACAGAGTCGTCTTCGTTCTTAGAGTTGATAGCCGCCTTGGGGGATGTTTGAAAGTCATGTGTGTGGAGCCAAATTTTACCAAAGCCACATTTTAAACACCGCTTCCGGTAAGATCTGCAGTGTTTTTTTTGAGGCGTCCGATGGCCAAGTACACCCAGGTGCGCTCCATCGCAGGCGCAGATCCATCTTGGAGTCCTGGAATGTGGTTGCATAGCACCATGGTACCCCCCCCTATAGGTCAACAAGGTCAACATGGTCAACAAGGTCCAGGGAGTCAAAAAACCCTAAACCCCCTGGAAAGAATGGTCCTTTGACTCATCCATGAACCAATGTTGCTGGAATTAGCTTGCAAATAAGCACCGATGGAGCGTCAATTCGATGGGAATTAGCTGCATAGTAGCATCTATGAGGCCATGAGGTATCAAATTTGATAAACTCAATTATGAATATATTATGAATTAGCATGCATGAAGGGTTGAATGGCTTGAATTTGGAGGGAATTAGTTGGAAATTACCATCAATAAGGCATGAGTTTTAATGGAAACAGCTGCTTCCTAGCATCCATGAAGGGATCAATTTTGATGAAATTAGCTGGACAGTAGCCTCCATGAGGGGTTCGTATTGTTGAAATTAGCTTCGCATTAGCATTCATGGGGTATCATGGGGTGTTAGTTTTTTAAAAATGAAATCAGCTTGTGAATTAGCTGCATAGTAGCATCATGAGGGGTCAAATTTGAGCTTTGAACTAGCATGAAGGGTTAACCGCTTAAATTTGGAGGGAATTATATAGCTGGAAATGACCATCAATAAGATTCATTAGTTAATTGATTGCAACTTGAAGCACGCATAGAAAAAACTTATTGCGGCTGGGTGGGCTTTACTAATTGGGGGGGGGCGTAGTCTTATTTGTGGGGGGGACACCACTCAAGGGGGGTATAGCCTTTGCGAGCTCCCAAAAACAGCATTTTTTTTATATAATTAGATTTTTATTAGAAATCGATCATTTGGGGGATGAGTTTTTTTTTCATTTTTGAAGTCTTGAAAGTGCCAAGTGGACAAAAACATCCTTGGGAGGTGGATGAGGAAACATCGGCAATGCAATGTTGATGTAATTGTTGCCAAAAATTAGATAATGGCACATGAAGCCAGCATAGAAAAAGATTCTTCGCGGCTGGTGGGGTTTACTAATTGTGCCAGCATGAGACGAATCAAAGGAGGAATAAGATAGGAAAGGGTCACTAAGTAACCTTGGAAATTGTAACCCGAATTAAAAAGTAAAAGGGAGTAACAGCAAATTAGTCCCACCAAAAATTTTTGGGGTTCCGCAGGGGTTGGATTAACTTGGAGGGTTGAAATCAGTATTCAGGGGGGAAAACAGCACCTAATTGACTGTAGTATTGCCCCAAAATCGGGGATCAGCTGGGGTGGGATTAACTAGGGGGGGATTATTAATCCTAGCTTGACATTACAAGTTTGGAGATACACGACCTGCAGGAAACCCATGATGTCCAGGCAGCGCCAGTGTCTGGAGCCGCAATGTGCCGCGGCAGAGCCCAAAACTGAGTCTCCTGCGAGCTTTGTGAGGCACAAACTTTCATTTTGTACGTTGAAAGTTGAAAGAATCAAAGGATATGGGTGATATTTGGGACCCAAACTACAGATTGGATGATTTGGTCCCTTTTTAGCAATGGCAATGCCATTCCTACCGAATATTCACGACGTGGAAATGTAGCCTGCTGAGGCCGGGACGCCTGTTGCTGTACCTACCTTGCACCTTGGAATTAATGAATTTTGGAAACATGGGGAAAGCTGTGGTCTTGGGGTCCCCATTTATGCGGAAATATGGGGAACACATATTGACATTGAACACATATTATGACATATTCGCTTTTCTGAATGATGTGCCAAGCAGGAGGTGCAAGAAGGACCAGCCTTTGCAAAAGGTCATGGAGAAGACTGGATCCATTGCAAAATAAGGCGAAAAATAGATAGGTGTGGCAGGGACCACATTCACATATGAAAGATTGGGAATGGGAAGAACCACCTTTCAACACCGATCCAGTTCATGCCCTGTCTTCGTATTCCAACAATCTGCGTTCGTCAACATCGAGTACTTGGCTGGCCAAGGCGAATGAGAAGCAACGAGCCAGGCGGTCTGAAGCCGGTCACGGGAGGGAGCAACTCCTCATGTAACAGTGTGGCTTTGTTCCTTTTGTATGTTCTAAGATGTCGAAAGTAGATGAATTGAGGGAGGGTTAACTTTTGCATGCCTAATTTCCTGGCATCGGTGGATCCTGATTTTATAGCCTCAAAAAGAGAGTTGTCAGTGACACTGTCAAAAATCGGGCTGCGCCCCTGATTTTATAGTGATCTATGGGTTGTGAACTTTTGAACATCCCTCATGTAGAACGACTCTCTGGCCAGGCGGAGTGCAGCCCATCATCAGCAGGCCTCTACAAGCCCGAAGCTGGGGACTTATTACCGATCATTGCGTCCCTGACCAAGCGTGGTTTCACAGTCTCCTAGAATCTTCGAAGCTTAAAGAAAGGAAGTATCTGGCTGAATGAGAAAGAAAACTCACACGTGTCTCTGCTTTGGGGCTGCTCTCAGGTCTGAGTACTTCGTGCTTGAGCTCAGGGCGGCTCACACCAGTGGTTTCAAGCTCCGCAATTCCAGTAGCTCCAGCGACAATCAGCGTGCCACCAAACACCTACCAGGTGTGCTCGGTTGCAGCATGGTGAACCAGTTCTGGTTGGTGGTTTCATTTTTTTCAACATTTCCAATAGAAATGGGATGATGATAAAAACCTAGAAAAACACACCAATTTAGCCTGGCAGCCAGGCCTTGCCCTGGCGTCGACAACTTTCACCCCGACCACTGTCACCGACTCGCACGCGGGTGCTGTCCCCACGCTTAAGTTGCTGGGCAAGCAAAACATTGGGGTTGAGATTCAATCAGCATGGGTCAGGACTCAACACTTTGATGACATTTTATGACCCTATATCCAATATGAGTCAATATGGGTCCCAAGAGACTCGAGAAAACGACGACACAGGGGTGAAACCTGCTGCCTGTTGTCTAAGGTTCTCCTCGTCCTGTGCAGGCTAGTTTTTCTTGCTGACCTCAAACACTCCCAAGAGGTTTCCAGAGAATAGCGGCCACAGAATGGGAAGCATGTCAGTGCATTGGATTTGTTGGAACATGTTTCGGGATGTTTTTGCCTTGTCCTTTTTGAGACAACAGGTTGTACGCCCAGCCAGCCAAGGTGGGAGTTTGGATTCTTGCAATGACTCTGTTCGAAGACTGACTTTCGAAGCAATACTTAAGGAAGTTGATCAGAAGAGATGTCGGCCCCGAACAGAACATCTACACCTCACAAACTGCATGCAGCCATGCAGTAGACAATGTACATAGAGTTAGCGTCGCAGGCATGAGGATGCTCTCCATGATGTTCCTGTGTGCTTCTATTCAACATTTCAGTGTCAATCAGATTCGAGCAGGACATTTTCTGGGGCAGGACTGACTTGATGTTGGTAGGTCCGACAGCGCAAGTCAACACCACTCCCATCTTGGCACCTCCCAGCTCCCAGGCGAATCGGGGGCAAAGGGGAGCACAAAACACGCGACTTGAGTTCTGCTGTGAACAGGGAGTGGTACACTGGCAACCACTGGTGACTTCGGAAGAATCGTTACTAAATTATTACATGCACATCTTATTACTTGACATTTACGAACTGCCAGTAGTACCGCACAAGGCGGTGGCGGAAGTTTCAAAGATAGACAACTATAGGAGAGGTGAGTTGTTGTGATGCATGGATGGCAGAGCGAATCCACGATGGACCGAAAGGTGATTGGAGTTGTGCTTTTTGGAGTGGTTTCAGTGGTCACCTCACCCACAACTGCTGGATGTTACGTGGTGTGGTGTGGTGTAGTTTGTATTTGTAGTGTGGTGGTACTTGTACAGTTGTAGTTGTAGTGGTAGTTGTAGTTGTAGCTGTAGTCGCAGTTGTAGTTGTAGTGTTGTTCAGTGTAGCTGTAGTTGTAGTTGCGGTTGTGGTTGTAGCGAAGAGTAGTGTAGTGTAGTGTAATGTAGTGGTACTTGTAGCTGTGGTTGAAGTGGTAGTTGTAGTTGTAGCTGTAGTTGCAGTTGTTGTAGTAGTGTTGTTCAGTGTAGTTGTAGTTGTAGTGGTATTTGTAATGTAATTGAAGTTGAAGTTGTAGTTGTAATGTAGTTGTAGTTGTCTATCATTTGTCTATCTGTTTTTCTCTCTATCTATCTGTCTATCTACCTGTCTATCTGTCTTCAATTTTTCAACTTGACAACATCAACAACGCAACAATTCTGCGAGACTTCCTTATTTTTTTAAAGTTGACAACGTCAAAAACGAAGGAATATTGGCGAAGTTGACAACATCAAAAACGAAGCAATTCTCGTAGACTTCCCTCAAGAATGGAAAGTTGAGTGCAGAGCTGACGGCCTTGTACCAGTTTGTTTTGCATTTTTTCCCACATCTTTGTGTGGGGTTCTTGTTTTTGGATATGTACTTCCGCCTTCCTCCTCTCGCCCGCCTGCCCGCCTGTCTTGACACACAACTTGACCACACACAACTTGTCACCGCACAACTTGCTCACGCACAACTTGCTCACACACAACTTGTCCACACACACAACTTACTCACACACAACTTGTCCACACACAACTTGTCACCACACAACTTGCTCACACACAACTTGCTCACACACAACTTGTCCACACACACAACTTACTCACACACAACTTGTCCACACACAACTTGTCACCACACAACTTGCTCACACACAACTTGTCACCACACAACTTGCTCACACACAACTTGCTCACACACACAACTTACTCACACACACAACTTGCTCACACACAACCTGTCCACACACAACTTGTCACCGCACAACTTGCTCACACACAACTTGTCCACACACAACTTGTCCACACACAATTTATCACCACACAACTTGACCACACACAACTTGTCCACACGCAACTTAGTCACACACACACACAACTTGTCCAGACACAACTTGTCACCGCACAACGTCACTTTGCGTGGCAGGCGTGGCACTTGGTGACATCGACATGCATTCTGCGTGGCCGGCGTGGCACTTATGGCACTGGGCTGGCTCTGGTGGCGCGCCTGGTTCCCGTTTGGCGCCGTGGGCGCCGCCGCCGTTTGCGTGGCAGGTGTGGCACTTCGCGACATAGATTGTCACTTTGCGTGGCCGGCGTGGCACTTGGCGACATCGACCGTCACTTTGCGTGGCAGGCGTGTCACTTATGGCACTGGGCTGGCTCTGGTGGCGCGCTTGGGTTCCAGTTTGCCATTTCCATTGTTTATGCTGTTTTTGCTGTTTTTGGTTCATGGGCAGCAAATGCATTGGCTTCATTGAAGGATGTCGAAATTGTTTATGGTCTTGTTTCGATGTGCTGTTCCTTTGCTTTTCGACCCAGGCAGGGACACTTTCACTTAATCAGCTAACAGGGTTGTTCCCCACATCTTTCTGTTCCCCACATCTTTGTGTGGGGTTCTTGTTTTTGGTTGTGCACTTCCGCCTTCCTCCTCTCGCCCGCCCGCCCGCCCGCCCGCCGCCTGTTGACACACAACTTCCTCACACACAACTTGCTCACACACAACTTGTCCACACACAACTTACTCACACACACACACAACTTGTCCACACACAACTTGTCACCACACAACTTGCTCACACACAACTTGTCACCACACCACTTGCTCACACACACAACTTGCTCACACACAACTTACTCACACACACAACTTACTCACACACAACTTGTCCACACACAACTTGTCACCACACAACTTGCTCACATACACAACTTGTCCACACACAACTCACTCACACACACAACTTGCTCACACACACACAACTTGTCCACACACAACTTGATCACACACAACTTGATCACACACAACTGGTCACCACACAACTTGCTCACACACACCTTGTCCACACACAACTTGTCACCACACAACTTGCTCACACACAACTTGTCCACACACAACTTGTCCACACACAATTTGTCACCACACAACTTGTCCACACACAACTTGTCCACACACAACTTACTCACACGCAACTTGTCCACACACAATTTGTCACCACACAACTTGTCCACACACAACTTGTCCACACACAACCTACTCACACGCAACTTGTCCACACACAACTTGTCACCACACAACTTACTCACACACATATTATCATAGATCGTCACTTTGCGTGGCAGGCGTGGCACTAATGGCACTGGGCTGGCTCTGGTGGCGCGCTTGGGTCCCAGTTGACGCCGTGGACGCCGCGGCTCCTTGCGTGGCAGGCGCGGCACTTGGAGACATGGACCGTCACTTTGCGTGGCAGGCGTGGCACTTGGCGACATCGACCTTCACTTTGCGTGGAGTTGACGCTGTGGACACCCCGGCTCTTTGCATGGCAGGCGTGGCACTTGGCGACATCGACGTCCACTTTGCGTGGCAGGTGTGGCATTTAAAATTATGGCACTGGACTGGCTCTGGTGGCGCGCTTGGGCGGCTCTTTGAGTGGCAGGCGCGGCACTTGGCGACATCGACCGTCACTTTGCGTGGCAGGTGTGGCACTTCGCGACATAGACCGTCACTTTGCGTGGCAGGTGTGGCACTTCGCGACATAGATCGTCATTTGCGTGGCAGGCGTGGCACTTA